TTGGTGGTATTTATTCACCACTGGGGTTTTTATTTTTTTGCTATGTAAATGAAATATCCAAATATTTTGAAAAAAAGTGTTTTTCTTATAAAATATTGCAAATAAATAGTATTTCATTATAAATCTTGGCCAAAATGTATTCTGTTATCTTTTTAGTAAAAAAAAAATAACCCAAATTAGTTTATAACCCAAAATTTGAATTTTTAAACATTGTTTTAATTTTTTATTTTTTTTTTTTATATTATTATTTATGTTTTTTTTTACATACATACTGTCACCCTAGCAGTACAGTGTCACCATGGTGACTACTTGTGGGGGGTGATGAAGATTTTTTTTTTTTTTTTCACTGATTGCTTTTACACCCATAAAGGATATAAAAGCAATAATTTCTCCTGCTCTCTGGCTGCATTCTTGCAGCCATTGAGAACTACTGTGTGAGCTGTGATTGGTCACAGCTTGTCACATGGTACAAGGCTATTGTGAATAGCCTTGTACCATGTGACCTCTGTGATCATTCACAGATTTCACACGTAGTAAGCAATGATGTCACAAGTGACATCTTGCTTACTACTCTGCATGAGATCACTGATTGGCCAATCAGTGATCACATGATCGAGACCTCACACAGAGGTCCCGTCCGACGATCGGTGTTCCACTGTGTCCGGAGGACACAGCGGGCACTGGATTGCGGTGCTGCGCTCTCCCAGTGAGCGCGCACAAGCAGGGTGTGGGGAGGCCGTGTATAAACGGCCACCCGACCCTGCACTGCCACCGTCCGGCCATTTATATACAACGGCTGGATGGGAGGTGGTTAAAGTTCATGTGTGTGTAAAGGCAGGTGCCCAAATACTTTTGGCAATATAGTGTTTATGTCCTATAGCAGCAAAGTGGTAGTACAAGCTATCACTCATGTAAGAGGAAGAAGAAGGAAGAAAAAGACCTAATAAAAGTGGGGTTACATATAAGATAGCATAGGTTGTAAGTACAGTCATAGGGAGGAGATTCATCAAGCGCAACACTTATAACCACAATCAAGTGTTATACCAGATAAACCAAGGTTTCCAGGTTTTCCCAAAGGCAATGTGTCAAATTGAATAGCTGGTTGTCTTTCATATGAGTAGTGTTGTTGGGTAGTATACACAGATTCTGAGGGATTAGGGGATAGTTCTTTGTTCCAATTTCTTGGTTAATTTAGCTAACAGGAGGTTGGCAATAGTTTTGTGATAAGGAGAAGGAAAACATCTATTCCTAGATTCAATATAGCCAGACCAGGATTTGGGGTAAGTATGCCTGCAATATCCGACAGGATTTGAAATATTCTTCTCCAGAAGCTGCAAATACTCTTAGAAGACCACAGTATGTGAAACAAATTACCTGTATAGCCACAATATCTCCAGCAAGGGGAAGAACAAGTAGGATATATTTTAGACAACTTGTAGGGTGTAAGATACCATCTTGTGTTTATTTTCAAGGCCAATTCTCAGTGGTTCACACAGTGAGTAACATTATGTGTGTATCTTATAGTATACTGCCATTGAGAGTGAAGGACATATTGAGATCTGTATCCAATTTGAGCATGGAGTTATTCTTAATACATTCAGATTTATTATGCAATAAATTGTATATTAGTGATATACCTTTCTGTGGTTTCTGGAGGCACATTAGGAAATGCTACACTTTTAGGGTGAAGGTAAATCATGGGTAATGGGTGAGATACTAAAAAGTGTCTAATATGTAGTAATGTAAAGTTAATTGTGCGAGGTAAGTTAAACTTATTAATTATAGCTTCAAGGGTATCAGGGTTACCATCTGTAAGAAGTTCCTCAACCCAGGTGATACCATATTTCAGTTGTGAGGTTTGGAATTATTATTTCCAGTGTGTGAACAGGGAATCGCACAATATCAGCATGTGTGGAATGATGGATTTGGTTAGTGTTCTCCAAGCCAGGATAGTCTATTTTGTGGTAATGGGTAAATTATCAGTTGGGATTGGTTTTCAAAGGTCCGCGAGAAGCAGATGACCTTAAGTGATGGATTTAGTGATGGATTTAGTGAAGTGTTTTTCAATATCAACCCATAGTGAAGTCTCGCTGGTGGAAACCAATATTTCAATTGATCAGAATGAGTTGCTGTGTAATAGTGAAAGATATCTACCATCCCCATTCCTTCAGCCATCCTATGTTTGGTGAAAAGGGTGTGGGAACATATGGCTTTCTTTCCCTGACAAATATACAGTACTTTTTAAACAGAGAGGATAATAAGAATAGGTACGAGCGCAGAGCGGGAATATGCAGATTCTAAACAGGATTTGTGGAAGGATAAGCATTTTGAAGGCCGCCAGTATGCCTGCCCATGATAATTCAATTCGGGTGGTGGTGGTTATTTTGAGTGGCACTCCAATGCATTAAGGAAATGCAGCTCCAAAGCAAATGCATTTCAGCACACCACTATACACTGTGTTTGAAAAAATAATGCTTTTATGGGGTTTTTTTGTCAATTCTTGTGTGTTGCAAGCCTCTATAAAATAAATAGGCTCCCTTAATGTAACACACATTAACTTGTGAAGCAATGCATGTTAATGTGCATGCGTTAACACAATGCTGAAGAAGGGCAAAGTGTAAATGGACCTCAAGCCAGGGCCACATCAATAGGAAATTCTCAGTTGGCAGTTTGTCAAGAAATGTAAAGGCATGCCTGCCCTATTCAACCTTCTACAATGCCCTATTGATTTATAAAGTGTTGGGCAGACCCCAACAACTCAAGTTACTATTGGTAAAAGTGAGGTGGCCATCAATCAACTTACTTTGCAAAAATTTGTATCAGACTACTACAGGTTTCAGGGATCCTAAAATGTACAGTATAGAATTTAGAAGTAATGTAAACAAAAAGAGGAGGGAGCAGAGTGCTAAAACAAAATTTCAGTGACTTCACTATTTTTTTTATAAACTTTGATAATTAATTATTCCACAGTGCCTGCAGCTCCAGAAGTCAGTGAGGGCTTGAGTAAAACTAATTTACTGCAAAAAATATGTATATATTTGAATGTCTACATCCTGGACACAGTTCTTCTTTAAAGTGAATCTGTTGCCTTGTACTGCATTGGCAATAAACAGGTTCATTTTAGATTTTCCATAAGAAACTTGTGGCTTTTAGCTATTTTGTTATGAGATAAATGTCATCTAATTCTACCAAAACTGAAATAGACAATGATTGGAAGAAGACAGTGATTTTTACTGCTAGCAGTTATAACAGCCGGTAGTAATAGTTGCATGTAAAATCAGTTGATCAACTTGGGTACATTTAGCCTGTTCATACATGGTTTGAATCCTGATCAGTTCCTGCCGAACTGGTCAAGATCTGAACAGTCTATGACCAGTACTACACTGAGTGTCACCATACTAATAATTGATGAGCATTTAATTTGCTTAAAGTAGAACTCTCTCAATTCACATTGAATATTTTTAACCCTTATGCTGCCACCACTAATAAATAGATAGTAAATTATATAATATTTGCTTGTTTTAAACCTTTTTTCACAAACTTTTTTTGCTTAGGCAAATTATGTCAAACATCCCAAGAGTCTTCAGGAGCGGAGCAGGGTTTTTCTCAACTAAGTACACCCTTCTGCCTGCATGTCTAAGCTAAAGGCAGATGGATTCCAGGAAGTAAATGCTACATGAATCTGCTGCCCCTACTCAAGATGGCCACATCAAGGAATGCTAAAAGGTCATTTTCAAAGTGACTTCTCAGAAAATAAAACATGGAGGCACAGATGGATGGATGGATTGGTGAATTTGCTTTGAATTTATAAAAATGAAATAAATCATGTTTTTTTAGTTTGTAGTTCTCAGATGCAGTGTAGTTCTGCTTTAAGGTAAAGATGGAGTACAACTGCCGCAATGGTATATAAAGTGAACCTATCATAAATACATTTTGAATACTCACAATATACAGCAACATTTTTTTTTATTGTTCCTTTTTATCATTAAAAAGCAGTGCTTATTCTTCAGTCATGTGCCTGTACTGAGGCTCAGAGGTGCAATCTGGTAGAATGTCATCAGTTTGGAGCACTGCACATACACAGATGACCCACCTCTTGCCCAAATGCTTAAATATGGTATTTTCCTACATTTTCTGCACCATGACCTCCAAAGATCTGATGAGACACACACATACTGCAGGAGCAAAGTCCCTTGAAGACTAAGGAACATTAATGTGCAGGTGTGGGAAGCTGAGCACTAGACTTTTACCAACTGTCAGTAACACTCTGGTCACACCGTTCTGACTTTGAAATCGTGCGACTTCCAGTGAAGTCGCATGATTTCAAAGTCAAATGTCATTCCGACTTGAGGTGCGACTTGCAAGCCACACATGTCTATACGAGTCGCACCTAAAGTAGTGCATGTACTACTTTAGAAATCTGTGCGGCTTCGACCAAGTCGGAATCGCACCGATATGACATATGACCGATTTAATTGCGGACAATAGGGTGTGACTTGCCAAGTGATTTGTAACTCGCATGGCATGGAAATTGCATGGCAAGTTGCACCTGGTGTGACCGGGGAGTAAGTAAGCACTTGGGTAGGTAAATGGGGGTGGATTGGCTCAGCTGTGTATGTTCTTAGTGCTTCAAACTGCTGACATAATTCTTCAGAATTGCAGTCACATGACTGGAGATTAAGGACTGTTTTTAATGATAAAAAGGCACAGTAACCCATTATAACAAAAAAAGAGTAGAATTATATAATAACATGTAAATGGGATCACTGAAAATAAATGAGAGTGTAGTTTAGCCTCTTTTTTGAAATCCTAAATAACTTTGTTCTACCAGATCCTAGGCTACAAGACTAACCATTTAGGACAATCTATAGTTCATCACTACAGGCATTGAAAAAAAAATAAGAATATCATAATACAATCAGTTATAGCTGACACAAACTAAAATAAATGATTGTATATATTACATTTTGGATTGATATAAAGAACATGGAGGTACGTACAGTCAGGACTTGTTTCAAACTCAAATTTGCGGCTGTTTGATCCATATCCAGCTGCTGTTCGAGCTCGAATTTGAAAGATATATGTGGTATCAGGCTTTAGACCGGTGATCGTCACATTGGTGCCTCTTGCTCGCAGGATGGTGTAACTTGTTTCCTGTTCCTGCTTTTGAGAAAAAGACATAGGGTTGTTAAAATCTATACAAACAAATATATCCATATTGCTTCCTAAATCAATATTTATGAAACCAGACACTATTAAAGATGATTTCTGGGAACAAAGCTCAACAGAGAAGAAATACATACAAGGGAGTTGTTTTACCCACCAAAGCATCTGTATTTCTGCCCATCATTCATGAGATTTACAAAGGTCACCCACTTGACACGGTCATGTCTAGCAGGGCAGGAGACTTGATTTTTCTCTGCTGCAGTTAAAGCTGAACTCCAGTCAACACAAAAAATTGCAGCATTCCTGCATTGTATGTGAGGTTGTCAATGACTTGCCCACATAAAGGGAGTGGAAGAGAGTGCCAGCTGCTAGGGAGAAAAGGCAAAAGATTTTTTGTGCTGACCAAATTCCAGTTCCCTTGTCCCTCCTCCAGCTTTCGACTGGACAGTGAAAGAAGAAGCAACCAACTGATGAGCTCATCTCACCTTTACTCCACGTGGGATTGGCTGTGCTTACACTACTTTCATTAAAAAGAAAAACACATTTTCAAGGGTCAGTTCACCTTTACACACGTTTCCCCAAAAAGGTCCCTATGCATCACAGTGTTCCCAGTGTATTGCAGTCTGCACTCTTTTATTCTCAAAAATGCCAAGCTGCCAGAAGCAGAGGACTGTGTATGTGCAGGTAGGGAGGAAGGCTGGTAATGCTTGTTCCAGGGCCATGAAACTGGCATTGGGCGCATCCTGCCATTTTCAAGATGGATTGGGGAGAACAATGGTGTCAGCAGATGAAGAGGGGGGTAATTGTTTGAGGGAAAAGAGTGATATTGGGGTATATGGGATCCATTTTGGGAAACATCTGTAAAAGTCAACTTACCCTTTAATGATACACTTATACTTATGAACACAGAGTTGAATAATTGGTGTCTTTGGTGCCTAGAGTTTAGCTTTAATTCATGAACAATTATTGAACTCAATGATTCACCAAATACTACTAAAATAAGTTCAATAACAGATTTAATATTGGATCAGCCAGCACAATTACTCATCCTGGTGCATTTAGTCAATAGATACAGTTTAATATACTGTCATCAGTTTCCTCTTGCATTCCTGTATGTTCCGATATGGTTTTCATCTGCTTGTTGGAATGCAATATTAACCATCTGAAATCTATTATCATAATTCTAATACTATTGTTTGAAGTTTGAAATATCTAGTAATTAGTTTAAGCTATCAGATAATTCACTTTTAAAGCGGGACTTCTAAAAGGAAAAAAATATAAAACTTTTTGATGTTTTTATTTGAAAGTTTGACTGAAATTCTACTGTGAAGTTTGCTCAGTCCATAAATTTTGCACTTTGTGGAAACTCTGGAAATTATAAGATTACATACCTACATTTTATTACCTATAACTTATGTTGATATTGGACTGGGGGTGATCAGAATAATATTTAAAGAACTGAAAACTGAAACTTGGTCGCTAAAAGCCAAACTCTACCTTTCAGTGGATTTGTAAGCTGCAAGGTAGAATAATAAAGTTCATTTTGTTACTTGTTAGTTATTGGTTATCTACAAATGAACAGGTAATGTGGCCACTCCAGCATTACATGGAAACTGTACATACTTGTGCATAGCTGTAGTTAAACAAAATTTTATGATTTCCAAATGATTGAAATAGATATTTCCAAAGTTATAAAAAGTGCTCACTTGCCTATACAAATCTTGTAACATTGCATCCTGAGCATAGGAGTCAGCTGAGTCTAGCAGTGTACGAGAAGAGGAGAGGATCCTGCAGCCCTAGCAGAGCCTTAGGAATCCATAGAAAGAACCACTGAGTGCACAGGATACAACTCAGCCTCTTCCCTCTAGGCTTTCTCTACAGCTTCACTTTTGAAGGATTTGTTGGCCCAGTGGATGTTTTGTGCGGCTAATTGGAGCTGAGAAGGAAAAGTGCCTAGAAGTAGAGGAAAAGTGGCCAATTGCCTTGTTCTTTCTGGGAATATTGACCATCAAAGCCCATTGGACACAGGGTACCTTGCAGATTGATGGTGGAAGGATAAGAAATATGGAAGCTGCTGTATTCGGATGACTTCCTGAGCGTATCTATAAGGCTGTGATGATATCCTAGAAGGATCTCCTTGGTGGAGCAGATTATGAGCAATTATCCTGTCCGGGTGGTTATAAGGCGTTTTATTTTTCATTTTTTGGTAAGGGTATTCACTCCTTATACTATAGAAGTGGACAGTTGTTTCACGTGTAGTTTTGGATTGATATCTTTCACTTTGATTGATTCACTGTCACATTTTTTACACATTCACTTTATTACTATTAGTGATCACGCATGGTTTTTGCGTTTTTTTTATCACATTTGTTTATTTAGTGTGTATTATTTAACGGGTTATCAAAGATAATGCACTATGTGATTTTTCTTTTCTTTTTGAGGTTTTTCTTTTTAGCCATAGGAGCCATTTGGAAGGCTTAATACGAAGACTGTGGTTTGGAATTGTTCACAGAGTGACTATATATTTTCTGGAAGGACATTATTATATTTTTGGACATTTTTCTTTTTTCTTTTTTGTTTGTTATATGATTTTTGTGATATACTTGTACATAGCTGTAGTTAAACAAAATTTTATGATTTCCAAATGATTGCAAAAGATATTTCCAAAGATATAAAAAGTGCTCACTTGCCTATACAAATCTTGTAACATATTCTTATTCTATGTCCCCAGTGCTCTTCCGCTTGTCCTGAATGAACCTGTCAGTGGCCAGGACTAGTTAGTGGGCTTTATATCATCACTGTGTTATGTGCGGACTACTGAACTACAGCTCTCATAATCAAAACCCAATGCAAAGTATGGGGCATGTTACCAGAAGCGTTGCTGGAATTGATAAATGATGGGGGTGGTGCCAAGCATGGCCACTTATAAACAAACTAATAGCTTGTCAATCATCTGTGTCAGCACATCATGCTGTAGTCCTTGTTGACATAGCAGATGTCAGATACCAAAGCTGCTCTGATTTCAGAAGAACTCTTATCCAAAGATTAAAGTACAACACCGTAAAGTTATACTCAAAAAAGAGGTTTATTGTGTTCAACAGCCAATGTGTTTTGGGGGCCGAAAATTGCCCCCTTCGTCAGAGCTTAAAAAAATGTAGGGTCGGTGTAACGGACATGTAAAATTTATTGTAACGGACATGTAAGATTTGAGTGGAAATATGGTATCATAGCCATGACAGGTTGAGTAGATTAGATTATTTCAGGCCCTTTCATTGCAAAGGTGTGTGCAGGAACAGTCTGGTCATTAAGGATGTACATTGAGCCCCTGGGCAGTAGGGAAATGAATAGAAGGTACAAACAAATGGTCTGGTATCAGATGTATATGCATACACAATTCCTCAATAGGCCTTACAGACTCAATCATCATTTAGCATTAATTAGTCTAAAGCCAGGTTCCTGGATGTGACAACTTTTGTGTGTCAATCAGGTTATCACCTTCTGAGGAAAACCAGTGACAGCAGACAGACTGTCTGCCTTTTGTGGAAAGCTCTATAAGTAATATTCACATCAAAGAAGTATGTTCAATCTCTTATAAAAGCCAAAATATTAGTTGGAGAGATATGAACAAGCTTCCTTCTTGTAGGCTATTCTGTACACTACATTTACATATAAGAATCATATTTGTGGCTTGGGGAGGAAGCCAGGGAAATGCATGGAATGATTAGATGACGCGGGGGTGCGACAGTCGGATGGTGTTTGGTACTGTTGCGATCGGGCTGACACGCTGGTGTCAGAAATCCAATCCCCGACTTGGTGTTCAGGCCAGTCTCGGCCCAATTGAACTTGGGCAGGTCCATACACAGTACCTCTTGTGGGCAGGTCAGGACCACCTCCCCCAGAGTCAATTGGCCGAAGACTAATGTCCCGTCCATGTCCAAATCGCGATAAATTGAACGCACGGACATTTGGACAGGGTGATCCGTACGGAGCTCGTTCGATTGACTAGCGGATTGCCGATTTCTGGCTTGCTCCAGCCGCAGGGTAAAGTGTTATTCTGTCTTTTTATTCCCTTTTATTTTATAGTAATTAGTCATTTGTGTGTCTTCTTATATCTTTGTATTTGCTGTAACCTTTTATCTTTTGTACATATTTTATGCACTGCCCACTTGGGAAATTAAATCTTAAAATTAATTAGTGAACTTCTGTGTATTTAAGCACGTGCTCATATCTTCGGAGAGACTAGATCAGAGAGATTAGATTGGGTTATATTGTATTGTATTTTAGTGCTTTTAAAACGCTCGGTTAAACTCATTACCAATCTGTATGCAACTGCACTGTGAGTGGGCAGATTGCACGCAGATTGCAAAGGTAACAGATCTGCCAGACGGAGATCTGTGTGTGTGTGGTGTCTCAACAGACCGTTCTGCGAATAAACTGTTGGGTGGTGGCAGGCTACCTTTGTGGTGCGTCTGGTGTGGGGGTGTGTGGACAGTGGAAGGGTTATCAACACCGGGGTTCAAGCTAGGATAGCTGAAGGGACCTTTAGAAGGGGGTGTGATTACTAAGCTGGTCCTCAACTCTAATCAGGGCACCAGGTTGTATGTAAGATTTGTATCTGCCAGTGTGTGGTCTACCAGCTGGATTGGAGTGGAGTCTCCATCTGGTGGTGGCCAGAGGTAGTGCGGGCTGTGAAAAGGTATCACGGCCGATCTTATGTACGGTTTGAGATATTTAAGTGTAAATCCCCTTTATTATCCCCTCTTTACCACCCTGTCGCGGCCGCACGCGCGCGTCATGGTTAGCTAGTCGCTGTAGGCGTGGCGTGTGGTGCACACGTGACAGGGTGATCGTTTAGCGAATCCTTGACAGTCGGCCATCTGGAAATCTAGGGGTATCTGAGGGTTTAGTTGGTGTATGCACACTAATAATAA